AGCAATATTATAAAATGTATTGAATATTTTAAGTTTGAGATTTTTATGGTGATGGGGTAAGTCAAGACAGCAATTTTGGACTCTGAGGAATGGACTCTTACGTAGTTAAATTAGTTTAACCAACGTTTATAAGCTGATAAAAATAATATATTTATTTTCACATCCAAAATACGTAATAATGTTTACATGTGATTTACATTTTATTACATTAATTACATAAAATTATTCATGCACAGCACCAAGGTCATTTGCCTGGCACAAGGAAAGATGTTCAGGATATTAGTTGCAACCCTCACCTCCTAATTAAATTTAACAAAGATGTCAGTTTCATACTCTTGTGCCCAACATAATGCTAGACTAATTAAGAAAATATATTTTTTGTTTAATTTATTTAAGGTATAAATGTATCTCATGGTTTGAGAAAAACTTTAAAGAGTAGTATTCAATCCAATTAATGTAGACTGAGGTTTCAAATTAAAGCCGGTAAGAATTAAAAAAAAAAAAGATTATGACATTGTCTCTACCCTTGAGGAGTTTTGTTGCCACAATTTGAGAATAAAACCACACGTAAATAAGTACTCTGTTGCTTTATATAAATGGTAGCTAAGTAGCTGTTTAGGGAAGGGCAGTAATATGACCTGGAGTGATCAGATAGAATGTGAACTGAATCTTAATGAATGGAAAAGGAAGTGGAGAGAGAGACAGCTTCCTGGGAAAGTAAGTGTTTTCTCATTCATAAGCAGAGCAAGTAGGTTTTATTTATTTATTTATTTGAGAGAGAGAGTAAGTAAGAGCATGAGAGGGGAGAAGGTCAGAGGGAGAAGCAGACCCCCCACGGAGCCGGGAGCTCAATCCCAGGACTGATGCGGGACTCAATCCCAGGACCCCGGGACCACGACCCAAGCTGAAGGCGGCCGCCCAACCAACTGAGCCACCCAGGCACCACAGCGCAAGTAGTTTTTAAAACTATTTTTTTTTTAACTTACTGTGCGAACTGTGATGTTTGCTGATGTCCTGTTAGGTTTGAGGTTATAAGATCATCCTCTAATATAGGTGCTTTGCTTAGGGTCGTTTTCAAAATCTCCTTGAGAGATTCCAAGGACTCAGAACAGCGAAAACAATCTTCAAAAAGAACAAAGTTCGTCAAAGTTTGTGCTTAAGCCTTCTTAGCCACTTAGAGGTTTAACTTCTACCATTGGGGTGGTGTGTGGCTTCGAGTTCAGGGAGTTTAATTTTGTTGTTGTACCTTTTCAGTCAGGAGCTAGTAGCTTGGAGCTTCCTTCCCTCATGGCTCCTGAGAGGTGCTGGGGAAATATAATTAAAAGCAAAATCTTCTCCCAACCCGAAAACCTCCCAGAAAGCCTCACCATAGATGTGGTAGAGAGAGAGAAAACCATTTTGTTATTGAATAAGCATTAAACCAGAAAGTCATGTGGATCACAAGCAATCCACTAAGACATGACAAAGACCGAAAGAAATATCAGCCTGACATATAACCAAGCAGATACAACAAATTATGAGCGTGTTTTCCAGATAAGCAGTGTCTTGTCAAGTAAGGGGACCTAGCAGCCTCTTTGCTACACGTAGTACATATTTGTTGTACCTGGTAATTGGGAGTGGCCACCTGTATTGACTTTATCAATAAAGGGGGAAAACAAACTTCTTTTAATGACAGGACGTAGTTTTGCAACCTGGAAAAGGCCCCACTGAATTTAGACTCCTGCCTTCCCGCAGAAGCTAGGAGACAGGAATGTTCTTTCCCTTGAGGACTCCCAGATCTTTCTAGACATTACTGGGTCGCAGAGCACAAAAAGGCTGATTTTGTCTTCAAAGGGATTTATATACATTTTGAAGAGAGGAGAAAGTATGTACAAGTTTTCTTTAAATGACCTGAGAAAAAAGAAGCAAGGGAAATCTCTCCCCTCGTTTTCAACAGAGAGAGTTAAGTCTCTTATTTCTAATTGCATTTGCTGTTACAGGGGAGGCACAGGCTGCCAGGGATGACTGTGATGTTATTTTTTAAGCCTGTTTTCTTATGAGTTGCCCCTTAGAGCAGCTTATCATTCATTCTGTTTGGTCAGAGATTGGATTTAAGCCCCTTGTGCCGGTGTGTCTTCTCTCCTGTGTTGATGAATCTGTGTCCAGCTTGGGGAGTGCTTTCAGTGTTTCCCATGTCCTGATGGCTCTGAGTGGAGGCAGCCGAGTGTATTTGCACAGCCTTCCCGACTCCCAGAGTTGATTCTGACCCAGGACACCTCTTGATGACTGCCCCTTCCCTTGATCCTCTCCATTAAACTTCTGGCTGCTCGGCTGTTTTGCTCTAGAAAGGAGCATCCAGCCACTTCTTAATTGCCCTCCACTAAGATCTGTGTTGTTTTTCAACAATGCCCTTAGGCATGGAGTTCTTCACTCTCAGTTCCAATTAAGTCCATTTTCTCAGAGCTGCAAAGCTCCTTGTCATTATGGCTTGCCTTTCCTCCAGGGCAGAACCCCTGTACCACTCTACCAAATTTGGATGTGAGGACACCCCTGCTCTAGGAGTATGCACTGAGGTAGGAGGGGGGAAATGTTGGCAGCCCCTGGTCTTCTCAACTTGCCCCTCCAGGCAATGAGCATTCACCCTTTGAATGAGCTGGAGGGGTGGCGATTGGGGCCCCAGGAGCATCTGGGCTTCTGTGTCTGGGGTAGAGCTTTTGCCTTTTGAATAGAGGGCTGGGTGGAGGGGGAGAGACCTGATCCTCTTAGCAGGACTTGCCTAGAATAGAGCTTCCTAGAATAGATGAGAAACATCTGCACCCTGCCCATCTTGGACTGAAACGGTAATCCCGGATGGGGAGCTGGCAGGGAGATGGAACTCCCATTTTCTTGGCTGCACATGAATAAAGCTTCTGTAATGAAGAGCTGGGGGAATAGTAAAGGAGGTTATGGTTCAAATACTCCTATTTTTACTGATATTTAGTAGATTTTCTTGAATGAATATTTCTCCATTTGCTGTATGCCCTTAGGACAATTTCTAAAGACTTTAAATAAATAAAAATTATTTTTTAGTAGTTGAATGCTTTGCTAGAGAGTCCATTGAGCTCCTTGATTGAACATTCCAGAAGTCCCAATTCTCACATTCATTTTGGAATATATTTCACTGGATATAATATTCTGGAATTATGGGTTGGCTTGTTACTGTTACTTGTTTCTTTAAGTAGTTTAAAGACATTTCTGTATTTTGGCTTACATAGTTTTTGACAGTTTGCTGTCATTTTATATCTTTGTTCTCTGTATGTAATGCTTTTTTTCCCTTCCTCTGTTCAAGATTTTTTTTTCCTTTGGTTTTCAGCAGTTTGACTGTAATATGTAACATGTAATATGTAATATGATCAGATATATTTTTTCCCCCAATTTTTCTCACTTGGAATTCTTCTGAACTTTTTGGATTTGTGTTTCTTGTTATTAATTTCAGAAAAATTCTCAACAATTATCTCTTCAGATATTTCTGTTGAACTGTTACCTCTTTCTTGTCCTTCTGGTGCTCCAATTACATCCATATTAAACCATTTGATATTGTCCCCCAAATTCTTAGGTGTTCTGGGTTTTTACTGTTTTTGTTATTGTTTTTTTCCCACTTTGTTTTCACTTTGTGTTTTTTTTAATTAACATATAATGTATTATTTGTTTCAGGGGTACAGGTCTGTAAATCGTCAGTCTTAGAAAATTCATAGCACTCCCAATAGCACATACCCTCCCCAGTGTCCATCACCCAGCCATCCTATCCCTCCCACCGCCCTCCCCTCCAACAACCCTCAGTTTGTTTCCCGAGATTAAGAGTCTCTTAGGGTTTGTCTCCCTCTCTGATTTCATCTTACTCATTTATCCCTCCCTTCCCCTATATAGGATCCTCTGTCTTGTTTCTCAGTTTCCTCATATCAATGTGATCATACAGTTGTCTTTCTCTGATTGACTTATTTTGCTTAATATTCTATCATCTAGTCCCATCCACATCATTGCAAATGACAAGATTTTGGTTTTTTTGATGGCTGCCTAGTATTCCATGGTATATATCTACCACATCTTCTTTATCCCTTCATCTGTTGATGGACATCTAGACTCTTTCCATAGTTTGGCCATTGTGGTGGGACATTGATGCTATAAACATTGGGGTGCATGTGCCCATTTGGTCACTACATTTGTATCTTTAGGGTAAATACCCAATAGTGCAATTGCTGGGTCGTAGAGTAGCTCTATTTTCAACTTTTTGAGGAACCTCCATACTGTTTTCCAGAGTGGCTGGACCAGACTGCATTCCCACCAACAGTGTAGGAGGATTCCCCTTTCTCCACATCCTCGCCAACACCTGTTGTTTCCTGACTGGTTAACTTCAGCCATTCTGACTAGTGTGAGGTGGTATCTCACTGAGTTTTGATTTGTATTTGCCTGATGCCGAGTGATGTGGAGCACTTTATCATGTGTCTGTTGGCCATTTGGATGTCTTATTTGCAGAAATGTCTGTTTATGTCTTCTGCCCATTTCTTGATTGGATTTTCTATTCTTTGGGTATTGAGTTTGATAAGTTCTTTATAGATTTTAGATACTAGCCCTTTATCTGATATGGCATTTGCAACTATCTTCTCTCAGTTGGGATAATTTCTGTTGATTTATTTTCAAGTTCATTGAACCTTTTCTCTGTTACATCCAGTTGCCTATAAGTCTATTGAGAGAATTCTTCAACTCTGATGCTGTGCTTTTCTTTATTTACAAAATTCCCTTCCCTTCCCTTCCCTTCCTTTCCCTTCCCTTCCCTCCCCTCCTCTCCCCCACTCTCGTCTTCACTTTTCTCTTTAGAGAGACAGCATGCGTGTGCACAATTAAGGAGAAGAAGAGTAGAGGAAGAAAGAGAGAGAGCATCTTAAGCAAGGTCCATGCTCAGGAAGGAGCTGGACACAGGGCTCAATATCACAACTCTGAGATCATGACCTGAGCTGAAACAAGAGTTGGATGTTTAACCAACTGAGCCACCCAGGTACCCCATGTTTCTAGAATTTCTATTTGATTGTCTTATATATATATATTCCATTTCTTTTCTAAAATTCTCCATCTATCATTCAAGCTGTCTATTTCTACTAGAGGATTTTATATATTAATCATAATTATTTAAATCTCTATTGTTAGTTTTAACATCTGTTTCTACCTCTGTTGGCTGCTTTACTTCTTGACAATGGCTTGGTTTTAGTTTCTTTCTGTATCTCTTACTTTTTTAATTGAATGTCAGAAATGCATAAAACAACATCAGAGACTAAGGTAAAAGGTAGATACATCTGGAAATGGACATGTTTTCTCTTCTCTCAGGTTAGTCAGTAGTTTTGCTGGGTTTATTATTGATCTGCTTACCTTAAGTATAACCTAGACTTCAAATTCCTCCATCAGAGGATGACTGATACTTGTACTTGGTGTATAGCCTGACATGAAAAAAGGATTTTTTCTTGATTTTCCTGCTCCAACCTCAGCCTTCAGTGGGCTCTTCACCCTTGTGCCAGAAAGTTTTCTCTTCACGCTCTTATCTCCCTGCTCCCCACAAAGTGGCATACTGCTATTGCTTGTCACTTAGTGCAACAATTTTGATGGGGACATGGGCTTTCTCAATTCTCCTGCTCTGTTTTCAGTGCTGGATACATGCTGTGAGCCTGGGCCTCCAGGCTAAGGGCTTTCTCAGTCTTTCTGCCCTTTCATGGCAAGGCACTTTGTTCTGTATTTGTGGGGAACTCTGGTAGGAGCAAGTTTCTCACTTCACCTCCAACAGTAGAAGACCTTTGCTTTATATCAGTGCAGGATCCTGGGCCTGAGTAAGTTTTCTTCCCTTCTTTCAGCAGCTGGATAAGATATCTGAGGATCTGTGCCAGTCCATTGAGGCCAGGTAAGTGAGCATAGATGGGTCTTGTGTTCAGAAACCTATACTTAGAAACCTATTTTCCCCTTCATATTTAGTAAATTTTTCCTTTAAAAATGGTTGCTCATCTCATATAAGGACAGAAGTATTTGCTAAAGAGAAACAAGGGGAGGAATACTTCTTTGTCCATGAATGGACCCACCATACTTTAAGGACTTGCACAAGATGGGAATGATAGAAATCAGAGCAAGAGAACCACTGGGAGTAGCCACATCCAGGAAGGCAGAGTGAGAGCTGGGGCATGGTCATCTCTTCCATGCCTTCCAGAGTTTGGTCAACCTGTGTTTTATGTAGGTGAGTGGCTTTTCCCTCCCATGCTCCCCACTGAAGCAGAGTGCTAAGGGGGAGAACAGAGAGACCTTGAACTTTAAGATCCAAGCTCTGACCCTTACTGTTTATGTAACATCAGAATAATCCCTAGAGCTCAGCCCGACTTGGCAGCTGCCTCTCTTGCCAACCTTGCTTGGCCCACTGCCTGTGCTCACTGGCCTGTTGATTCTTGTTTCTGGCTGACCACTGTACTTGCTGTTTGCTCTGCCCGGAAGTTCCTCCCACACACTTTATGCTGGCAGGCCCTTTTTCTTTTTTCCCATCTCAGGCTCACATACTGCCTCTTCAGGGAGGCCCTCCCATCAAAATGACCTCTTCCCACCCAGTCCCTCACATGATTTTATCAAACCTTTCAGAGAGCTGATTATTTCTGATATTATCTTGTGTATCTGTTTGTTTTCTTGCCGTTGTCTGTCTTGCTCCCTCTGGGTTATCAGCTTTGCAGGCCAACAACCTGGTATGTCTTGCTGGCTCCTATGTTTCTCACACTAGGACCTGGCACTTGGTAGACATGCAGTAAATGTTTATTGAATTAATTGAATGAATGATTGTGAATGAAAGAGATAAATAGTTATATACATGTGTGCTGTGTCAATGCATTTATTTATGTTTTGACTTGTTCCATGAAAGGGCATGAAGTGGCTTACAAGAAGCACCCAGCTGTGAATCTGGGAACCAACTAATTTTTCATTTTGCTGATGCTTATGCCATTTTCATTGTGATCTGCTTAGTTAGTTGCAATAAAGGGCATAGATTTCATTTTCTGGTCCTCGCTGGCTATGTAAAATGGCTGCTTCTTTTTTCCTGTACATCGTACTGTTATTAACCTATTGCTACAATTGAGTTATTTATTGAATCAGCCCCTGATAGATACAGTATAAAAATCTAGGAGCAACTAGGTGTGCCTTGGTGGCTCAGTCAGTTTGTGTCTGCCTTCAGCTCAGGTCATGATCCCAGGGTCTTAGGATCAAGCTCCATGTGGGGCTCCCTGCTCAGCGGGGAGCCTGCTTCCCCTTCTCTTGTTCCCTCTGCCACTCCCCCTGCTTGTGCTCTCTTGCTCTCTCTCAAATAAATAAATAAAATCTTTAAAAAAAATAAAAATCTAAGAGCAACTAAAATGATATGCTTTATCAACAAAGAGAGGATAGTCCAAGATGGCAGAAGAATAGGAAACCTCAGTATTGTCTGGTCCCAGGATTTCAGCTAGATAGGTATCAAACCATTCTGAACACTTCTGAACTCAGAGATCTAAGAAAAGAATAGCTACAACTCTACAGATAGAAAAGCAACCACTTTTTGCAAGGTAGTAGATGCAGAGAAGTGAACACCAGGCGATATATAGGAAGACAAATGGGGTGGGGGTGGAGAAAGTCTCTGTAACCTGGCTACTGGAAAGTGATAGAGCAGTGGAGCACAAAATCAGAACTTTTAAAGTCTGCTCCACGGAGGGACATCCCTGCCTGAAAGCTGCCCAGATGGCAAGCAGGGTGGAATCCTAGGTGGGACAACGTATCTCAGGATCTTTGGGTTCACGGGAGACTGGGGGTGCCTGAGTGCATCAGAGTTCCCAGGCATCGGAGTGGAAAACCAGCTGCAGTCAGCAAGCCCAGGAGTGGGCTCAGCTCAGGATTGCCATACACTGCAAAGTGTGGGGCAGTTGGGTGACTGCTCTCTGAGTAGCAGTCCAGCAAGCAGCAGAAATGGTGAAATCCCCCTTCCTTCCCCAGGAGGAGTGACGCAGGTGTGCGCCACAGGAGTCTGCAGGGTTTGGACATTGCAAATGGGATCATCGTGTGCCTGAAATAGAAACACTCGGTCAGAGGCTAGGTGAGCATGGAGTGTGGCCAGAGACTAGGGACACAGGAATGATTGACTGCTTTTCTCGAAGGGCTCACCGAGGAGTGGGGCTCCCAAGCATTCAGCTCCAGGGCCAGAAATTGGGAGGCCCTGTTTTCATTCTCATACTCTAAAGCAGAACAGAAAGCCTTCAGGGAACAAAAGCTACATAGAGAGATCCAGAACAGCTTTCTTAACTGCCCCCTGGCAAGGGCAGTACAGTTCTGCCCAGGGCAAAGACACTTGAGAATCAGAGCAACAGGCCCCTCCCCCAGAAGATCAGCAAGAACATCCAGCCAAGACCAAGTTTACGATCACAGATAACTGCAAAACTCCAGTTCTAGGGGAAAATAGTATATAGAATTCATGGTTCACCCCCCACGATTCTTTAGCCTTTCAATTTAAATTTTTTCCTCTTTCTTTTTCAACCAATTTCTTATTTTAGCAACTCCTTTTAAAAAAGTCTTTTTAAATTTTCATTTTTACAGTTACATTCTATCCTTTCATTTTATTTGATGTTATTTTTGTGTATATATATAACTTTTTCTTTCTTTATAATTTTGGGATGCTGTTTCTTTTAACAAACAGATCAAAATACACTCAGAATCTAGTGTATGGCTCTGTTTTCTTCACTTGTCTGATCATATCCTTCTTTTTGTTTTGTTTAAGTCATTTTAATTTTCATCTTCACAGTTATATTCTATCCTTTCATTACATTTAATTTTATTTTTAAACATATAAGTTTTTCTTTCTTTACAAATTTGCAATCTAGTTTAATAACAAACAGGCCAAAATACACAGGATCTAGGGTATTGCTGTATTCTGTTCACCTTTCTGATTATATTCTCTCTTTCTCTCTCTTTTTTTTTTCCTTTTCTTTTTTTTTCTTTTTTTTTTTTTTTTGGTTTCAGGTCTCTTCTGATTTGTTTGGTGTATATTTCTCTGGGGTCTTTGTTGCCATTTTAGTGTTTTGTTCTCTAATTCATCTATTAGACATTAGAATGACAGGATGGAAAAACTCATCTCAAAAAAGAGAACAAGAGGAAGTACTGACTAACAAGGACCTAATCACTATGGATATAAGTAAGATGCTGAAACTAGAATTTAGAATAATAATTATAAAGAAACTAGCTGGGCTTTGAAAAAGTACAGAAGACACTAAAGAATCCCTTACTGGAGAAATAAAAAAACTAAAATCTAATCACGTTGAAAGAAAAAGGCTGTTAATGAGATGCAATAAAAAATGGAGGCTCAGAAAAATAAAAAGAGAAAGGGGCTCCTGGGTGGCTCAGTGGGTTAAAGCCTCTGCCTTCAGCTCAGGTCATGAATCTGAGGGTCCTGGGATCGAGTCCCACATCGGGCTCTCTGCTCAGCTGGGAGCCTGCTTCCTCCTCTCTCTCTGCCTGCCTCTCTGCTTACTTGTGGTCTCTGTCTGTCAAATATATAAATAAATAAAATCTTTAAAAAAAAAAATGGAGGCTCGGGACACCTGGGAGGCTCATTTGGTTAAACCTGTCTTCAGCTCAGGTCGTGATTCCAGGGTCCTTTGATTGAGTCCCACATCAGGCTCCCTGCTCTGCCGGGAGTCTGCTTCTGAAACAGGAAGAAAAAGGAAACCTGAACAGACCCATAACCAGCACGAAAATTGAAGCAGTGATCAAAAATCTCCTAACAAACAACAGTCCAAGGCCCAATGGCATCCCAGAGGAATTCTACCAAACATTTAAAGAAGAATTAATACTGAATTTTTTTGAAGCTCTTTCAAATAGTAGAAATAGAAGGAAAGTCTTTCCAAAGTCTTTCTAGGAGTCCAGCATTACTTTGATCCCCAAACTAGACAAAGACCTGCACCAAAAAGAATTATAGAACAATATCCCTGATGAACACGAATGCCAAAATTCTCACCAAAATACTAGCCAGTAGGATCCAACAGTACATTAAAAGGATTATTCACCATGACCAAGTGGGATTTATTTTTCGGCTGCAAGTATGGTTCAACATCCACAAATCAATCAGTATCATACACTACATTAATAAAAGAAAAGACAAGAACCATATGATCCTCTCAACAGATGCAGAAAAAACATTTTACAAAGTACAGCATCCTTTCTAGATTAAAACTCTTCACAGTGTAGGGATAGAGGGAACAAACGTCAATATCATAAAAGCCATATGCAAAAAGCCTACAGTGAATATCATTCTCAAGGAGAAAAACTGAGAGCTTTTCCCATAGGTCAGGAACACGGCAGGGATGTCCACTCTCACCACTGTTGTTCGGCATAGTACTAGAAATCCTAGCCTTAGGAATCAGACAACAAAAGAAATAAAAGGGACCTGAATCAGCAGAGAAGTCAAACTCTCACTCTTCATAGATGACATGATGCTCTGAAAAACCCAAAAGACTCCACCCCAGAATTTCTAGAACTCATACAGGAATTCAGCAACATGGCAGGATATAAAAATCAATGAACAGAAATCAGTTGCATTTCTATATGCCAACAATGAAATAGAACAAAGAGAATTTAAGAAGTCAATTCTATTTACAATTGCACCCAAAACCATAAGATACCTAGGAATAAACCTAACCAAAGAGGCAAAGAATCTGTACTCAGAAAACTATAAAGTACTCATGAGAGAAATTGAGGAAGACACAAAGAAATGGAAAAACATTCCATGCTCCTGGATTGGAAGAACAAATATTGTTAAAATGTCTATGCTACCTAGAGCAATCTGCACATTCAATGCAATCCTTATCAAAATGCCACCAACTTTTTTCACAGAGCTGGAACAAATAATCCTAAAATTTGTATGGAGCAAGAAAAGACCCTGAATAGCCAAGGGAACATTGAAAAAGAAAACCAAAGCTGGTGGCTTCACAATCCCAGACTTTGAGCTCTGCTGAAAAGCTGTAATCATTAAGACAGTATGGCATTGGCACAAAAACAGACACATAGATCAATGGAACAGAATAAAGAACCCAGAAGTGGACCCTCAACTCTATGGTCAACTAATCTTCGGCAAAGCAGGACAAAATATCCAATGGAAAAAAGACAATCTCTTCAACAAATGGTGTTAGTAAAATTGGACAGCCACATGCAGAAGAATGCAACTGGACCATTTCCTTACACCGTACACAAAAATAGATTCAAAATAGATGAAAGACCTAAATGTGAGACAGGAATCCATCAAAATCCTTGAGGAGGACACAGACAACAACCTCTGTGACCTGGCCATAGCAACTTCTTGTTTGACATGTCTCCAAAGGCAAGGCAAAATGAACTATTGAGACTTTACCAAGATAAAAAAAGCTTTTGCACAGCAAAGGAAATAGTCAACAAAACCAAAAGACAACCAATAGAATGGGAGAAGGTATTTGCAAATGACATATCAGATAAAGGGCTAGTATCCAAAATCTATAAAGAACTTATCAAACTCAACACCCAGAGAACAAATAATCCAATCAATAAATGGGCAAAGGACATGAACAGATATTTATGCAAAGAAGACATCCAAATGGCCAACAGACACGTGGAAAGGTGCTCAAACATCTCTAGGCATAGGGAAATACAAATCAAAACCATAGTGAGATACCACCTCACACCAATCAGAATGGCTAAACTTAACAAGTCAGGAAATGACAGATATTGGCGAGGATGTAAAGGAAGGAGAACCCTCTTACACTACTGGTGGGCATGCAAGCTGGTGCAGCCACTCTGGAAAACAGTATGGAGGTTCCTCAAAAAGTTGAAAATAGAGCTACCCTATGACCCAGCAATTGCACTACTGGGTATTTACCCCAAAGATACAAATGTAGTGGTCTAAAAGGGCACCTGTTTCCCAATCTTTATAGCAGCAATGTCCACAATAGCCAAACTATGGAAAGAACCTAGCTGTCCATCGACAGATGAATGGATAAAGAAGATGTGGTATACACACACACACACATACACAGACACACACACACACACACACACACAATGGAATACTACTGAGCCATCAAAAAATGAAATCTTGCTATTTGCAACAATGTGGATGGAACTAGAGGGTATTACGCTAAAGCAAAATAAGTCAATCAGAGAGAGACAGTTATCATGATCTCACCCATATGTGGAATTTAAGAAACAAAACAGAGTATCATAGAAGAAGAGAGGAAAAAATAAAACAAGATGCAATCAGGGAGACAAACCTTAAGAGACTCTTAATCATAGAAAACAAACTGAGGGTTGCTGGAGGGGAGGGTGAGTGGGAAGATGGGGTAACTGGGTGATGGACATTAAGGAAGACATGTGATGCAATGAGCACTGGGTATTATATAAGACTGATGAATCACTGACTTCTACCTCTGAAACTAATATGTTAATAATTGAATTTAAATAAAGATCAGTGAATTTCCTTCAAATGTGAGTGTATTTGTCAATCATTTTGTTGTTGTTCACCCACCAGGCTTATTGCCATAATATATGGTATTTTAGTTAAAAAATTTACATCTCTTTGGGTGCCTGGGTGGCTTAGTTGGTTACGCATCCCCCTTCGGCTCAGGTCGGGTTCCCAGGGTCCTGGATCCAGTCCCATGCTGGGCTCCCTGCTCAGTGGGAGGTCTGCTTCTCCCTCTCCTTCTGCCCCTGCTCTAGCTTGTACTCTCTCTCACTTGCTTACTCTCTGTCTCTCAAATAAATAAAAATCTTAGTTTAGATTATAGAAGGAATTAAAAGGTGTGAGACTATTATTTGATGTAGGGTCCAGGGAAATCCGCTAATGTCATTTTCAGTAAATTGCTTATATTTTTGTTTACTTTTGCCACTTGTTTTCTCATCTGTAAATTTAGAGGTTAGACCCTCTAAGCATCAACTTCTAGCTCTGAAATTCATTGACAGTTCTCCCTTCTTTCTTTCATCTCCTTTGGTCATTTCAGAGGACACAAGTAGACATCCCCAAACTAATTTAAATTTCT